TGAGGCTGAGGCCAGAGCACTCTAACCCAGGCAACAGAGTGAGACTCTGTCTAAAAAAAAAAAAAATCATATTCAAATTGTAAACATTTGGTGAGTCTGATTTTATGGTAGTTCTGAAATAAAGGTGGGGGTGAGGAGAAAAATGTAATGATTTGTTTTCTTTCTAACTTAATTCCTCTGTATTATCCCTCAGTTCACATTTGGGATGTGGATGGTGTGGATGGGGGAGGGAGCTGCTTAAGAGGAAGAGGAGGGAAGAGGGAAGAAGGGAAAGGATGTCTGCAGAATGATCTTTTATCTAGACGGGATCTTCAAGATCCTCTAAGCCCTTTGTTTTATTCACAAGAAGGTCAAGAGGAAGATTAGCCTGTCCTGCCAGGAACTCTGAGGGTCTCACCTCAGTCCAGGGCTCTCTGGACTTCCACATCCTTGGCTGCACCTGCTTAGAAGCGACTTTGGGGCCCTAGCAGGACATGAAAAGCATACATTAACTGGGTCATTTGGGGTTCATTTATGAAGTGTGGGCAGGGCAGGGTGTAGAGAAACCTTAAGAGAGTGCAATATACCGGGGAGATACCTGCGGGAGGATTTATTATGGCTAGGGTGGAATGAGTGAGAGGACAGGGCACTAGAAAGGTAGATGGCCCTAGAGGGAGGCTGCCCAATATGAGCTGAGAACTCAGTTGAGAGGCACTGCCAGCTCACGGTGACTTAGTAGAAGAAAGAATCTGACCTTACCCTGCTCCCTGTCTCCATCACCTGCTGGTGCCTCTCATGGGCCAAACGCAACCAGAACCCAGGGACAAAGAGAGTGGCTGGATGGCATCCTTACAGATCAGTCTTGTAGGTGGAGAAGGGTGATCTAGAGAGACAAAAGGTATACCTAGCACATGGTTTGGAAGTGCAGTTCCAACCTCCTGAGGAAAAAAATATCTAGCTGTGTACTCTGTTTCCCCAGGCCCTGATTGAGGTTCTGAGGTATTTGGCTGGTTTGTTTCATATGAGCAGGCCTCTGAGTTGTCTTTCTGTATCCAGCTCTGAACTGGTCATGGTTTCTTTCAGTGATTTCATGAGCAGGCTGACTCCTTAGGTGGTTGGCCTATGGCAGTTTTCACTACTCATTCTGGGAAGACAGAAGGGCCCATGTTGCAATCTGGCCATTTTCTCTATGCAATTAAAGGCCGTGATTTTAATGAAACTGGGGTTCTTTCTAATCAGCAAAAGGAAATGTGGTGGACACTGTAGAATTTCCTTTTGGTTGAGCACTAAAACCAAACATGAGTCTTTAGTTGCTCTTGGCTTTCATCTGAAGTCATGGGAGACTGTGGTTTCAAATGGAAAAACCGTGCTTCCCTGGTATTCTGCTGTGAATGGAATACAGTTCTTACACGCGTGACCATTATTTAATTGCAGGTGCAGAATATTTCGAACATATCACAGCTGACTTATATCTTCCTTTCCCTGAGTCACAGTCCAGGAAATTGAGAACAACCCTGTTATAGAGGTCTGGGTTGACAAGTGGGAGGGAGATGCGGGGGATAGTTGTGTGGTCTGAGAACATCACTGGCCTCCTGAGACGTCTTTTCTGAAGTCTGGTGTGGGGAGAGGAGTGGAATTTTTTTTTTTTTTTTTTTTTT